TAAACTAAAAATCAAGATATAACTAAAATATAAGAATTATAATGAGATAAAGGATTCTCAACATAGGGATCTGAGGACTTACCTGCTCCTTTGTATGCTCAATAAAAAGATGCAAAAATATATACAGTGGAGAGAAGATACATACCGCTGATTCAGATTCTTCTTTTGGAGCGCCTCTCTTTAATTTCACAACACCAGCTCCTGCTACAGGGGTTAAAGGTGGAAATTTCAGATTAGCCAATACACTATTAGTCATTGAAACACTGTTCTGTTTAGCTTCATTCTTCCTAATTTCCAGTTTCGCTTCCTGTGATAAACTGGAGGCTGAAATATGTGTTGAGGCATTTGAAGGAACAGATAATCTCCTGGCAGTGATTCCAGCTGGAGGAGGTTTTATGCGATCATTAGCTCCATCTTCCTTCTTTTTCAATTTTATACTTGTACTTGTTGAACTGCCATCAAATACAATTAGTGGTCGCTTCCGTAAACCCTCCACAGTTGTAACACTGAAAAGACAAGTTTTAAAGTTTTCAGATATACAAACTAGATTCGAGGTTTAGTTAGTAACTCAACACAGAAACAATTTAAACAAACATTATTAAAACAATTAATATAGCCCAACCTGGCAATATTTGTCAATGTCGTTTCCCTTAAACTGTTTTACTCACTTCAATTTAAATCAAAGCAATTGCTTTAAAAAAAAAATCAACCTAGCAATTTAAAAACTGATTCCAAACAATATAGTTGTCAAATTTAGCAGCATTAATATTGCTGCTTACAGCTATTTTAGGGCTGGACAGTATCAAGAGAGTTACAATTTATTCCATATAAAAGGCAAATACTTGATGAGCTGTGAATTGCCTTCATCTAAGTCAGCGCTACTCAACACGCAGCCCATGGGCTACATGTGCTTTGGGTTCACGCAGGGCTCAACATGTGGCCCCCAGGTGGGAGCCAAAACAAAAAAGTAGTTAATATAATGGTCTTCTGTTATGTATTTTAGTAGCTAAACTCCTGGGCTGTGTCTCCATTGGCACCCTTTTCCGGAAATGCTTAAAACAGAACAGTTTTCCGTTATAAGTATTTCTGGAAAAAGCGTGTCTACATTGGCAGGATGCTTTTCCAGAAAAGTGTCTGTGGCCAATGTAGACACGCTTTTCCGGAAAAAAGCCCCGATCGTCATTTTCGCGATTGGGGCTTTTTTGCGGAAAAGACTACTGTGCTGTCTACACTGGCCCTTTTCCAGAATAGTTTTTCCGGAAAAGGACTTTTGTCCGAATGGGAGCAGCATAGTTTTTCCGGAAAAACACTGACAATTTTACAGTAGATCGTCATTGCTTTTCTGGAAAAGCAAGTGGCGAGTGTAGACAGCTTTCAAGTTATTCCGGAAAAGCGACTGCTTTTCCGGAATAAGTGGCCCAGTGTAGACACAGCCCTGGACTGTCATTGTTCATTAAAAGTGCTGTCATATGGATGGAATATGCGTTTTATTAATATCAGCAGAACTGACTTAAATGGGGCCTGCATGTAGTGTTGTCCTGCCTTAATCTTTGTATTCATGCCTGTCAGTGTGAAAGAAGCTATCTTCATGTGTATGCAATCACACTTAAGTTGCGACCCTCAGCATGTACTGTGAGTATCATTGTGGCCCTTGGGACTTCCAAAGTTAAGTAGCCCTGATCTAAGTTAAGATTCACTGGCAATTTAAAATTTTATAAAAAACACTGCTCCTAACATCTGCTTTTGTTCATGATTCTTATAGTGAGGAAGCCCAAATGGGCTAGTTAGACTATTAGGCTGCATCTAGACTGGCAAGTTTTTCCACAAAAGCAGCTCTTGCCAGCTGTCTACACTGGCCGCTTGAATTTGCACAAGAACGCTGACGATCTAATGTAAGATTGTCAGTGTTTTTGCGCAAATACTTTGATGCTCCTGCTCGGGAAAAAGCCCTCTTGTGCAAATGCTTTTGCACAAGACAGCCACTGTAGACAGGTAAAAACTGTTTCGCACAAAAAAACCCCGATGGCTAAAATGGCGATCGGGGCTTTCTTGAGCAAAACTGTGTCTAGATTGGCATGGACGCTTTTCCGCAAAAAGCGCTTTTGCACAAAAGCACCCATGCCAATCTAGACACTCTGTTCTGCAAATGCTTTTAATGGAAAAACTTTTCCGTTAAAAGCATTTGCGGAAAATCATGCCTGTCTAGACGCAGCCTTAGTGAAAATATTTAGCAAAATAAATTTCTGAAATAAGTTGTTCCTGAGTCAAAATAGTGGGCCTATTTATTTTTTTTGCATCTAAATGCTATCAGATTTGGCTAATCAATTATTTTATTTATGGAGGAACACTGTCAAATTGTCTAAATACAAAAGATAATTTAAAAAGTGAACAGCGTAAGTGGCAAAAAAAACCCTATATGATTTTAACAAAACTGTCTGATGTATAGTTATGTCAGTCTAAGTTTAAAAACGAGAACTCTTGTGGCACCTAGAGGAAGTGGGATTTGCTCACGAAAGCTCATGGTACTGTATATATTTTTGTTAGACTCTATGGTGCTACAGAACTACTAATTTTTAAAAAATACATATATATTATTTTTCATGAGCGCACATATATATATATATATATAGTGTATCATGAGCTTTAGTAAGACTCTAAACCTCAGGGACATGGTTAAGACACAATTGCCAGGAAACCTAAAAATGGTTCAAATAAAGTGTTAACTTTATAACGTAAATATCACTGAGGTGCCTATACATACAAGTTGTTTAGATAGACAGGATTATTTAAATATAAATAAAAACAAATGCATTTTACATACACTCATATTTAATACCCATGTCATGACACCCATCTAATTCAATTACAGTATCACCATTAGAACGGAAACTAAACATGGAGTTGCTGGCAGTCTTTAAATGCAAAGATAAAGGAAATTCCAAAAATCTTCTGCGTGATAGCATTTACTCCTTTTATTTTTAAAGAAATTTTGATAACAGTTCAAAAGTGCACATCCATGCTCACTGGAGTACATTAACTGAGTGTGCAAAGCTGGTCATCAGGTTTGCCTTTTATTAGACAGCAAATGTGTTTAATTAATCCATTAATTTGACACAATGAACACAATACTAAAGACCTTAATAAAAGCTACTTACACAAATGAACTGAGTTAATCTCTACCACACACTTTGAATTTTTCCTTATAACAGCACCCTGGATCTTGAATAGACTCTATAAAAGGTATTGTCAATGTCCATCCCCAGTGGACCACAGTAAAAAGTTTCAGTCTCTTTCATTAACTCACCCAAAGATGTAACATGTATTCCTTTATTAAGGATTGCTCTTTAAACACTCCATATTTTAATGACTAACACTCTCAATGCTTATATGTTCAGTTAAATATTTGATATTTATCATTGTGGGCATTGCCCGTACTATATTTTTCAGGAATACTGTAACAGCACCTCTATCACCACAAATGATAACATGACGGTATTAAAAAAACCATATTCCTGGAGCAGCCACAGTGGAAAATTAGTGGGTACAGAGCAGCTGCCAGTGCCAAGTTCACTTCCCACCTCTCCACTTCACTGACTAACTCCTCCCAACCTTCCAAGCATTTCCTGAGCACCATAAACAGCTGATTTGCAGCCTTCAGGAAGCTTCAGGAGGGAGGGAGAGGAGTGGGAACAGGGCACACTTGGAGGAGGAGGCAGGCAGAGGAAGGGCTTAGAGCAGGGGTGTCCAAACTTTTTTCAAAGAGGGCCAGATTTGATGAAGTGAACATGAGTGAGGGCCGACCATTTTGCCTGACATTCTTTGAACCATTAAAATTAAATGCAAATTAACTATTTTATGCAAAGTTTATTGCAAATGGCATACTTTTCATTTCATCACATGGATGACAAATCTAAACAGGTGTTAAATCACTCTGCCTTTCATATCTGAAGGCCAGATGAAAAAAAATCCAGGAAGCTGAAATTTATGTCAGGAACATTGTAAAGTACATTACATATTATTGGTAATAAAGGTTGTCTGTCAACTTTTAAGTTCAAAAAATATGAACAGGAACATAACACCAAGTATACATGTTGTGTCCAAATATATTTATAACTGATTTAGACCAACTGACATTAACTGAGATTTTACAATGTATTCATCTCAATACATATGGATTCGTTGGGGGCCATAAAAGATAGATATTGCCAAATTACCTGTGGGGCCGTATTAAACCGGAACACGGGCCGCAATTGGCCGGCAGGCCAGACTTTGGACATGCCTGGCTTACGGGAATGGCTAAAATAGGACAAAGGGGTTTAAGCACCCCACCGCTAGAGGAGATTAACAAAACGGGGACTTTTCAGCTTGAAAAAGAAATGACTAAAGGATGGGGGGCCGGGATATGTTAAAGATCTAGAAAATCACAACAGAGGTGGAAAAAATAGAATAAAAGAAACATTATTTACTACTTCACTAACATGACACAAGAATTCAATTAAATTTATAGACAGCAGATTTACACCAAATTATTTCTTCACAGTCAGCCTGTGGAACTCTTTGCCAGAAGATGGTGGAAAGGCCCAGACTGTAACAGGGTTCCAATAAGAAGAAAACAAGTTCAAGGAGAGGAGGTCCATCAATGGTTACTAGCCAGAATGGGTAGAAATAGTGTCCCTACCCTCTGTTTGCCAGAAGCTGGGACTGGGCGACATTTGATGATTGCCTCTTCTGTTGATGCCTTCTGAAGCATCTAGCATTGGCCACTGTTGGGAGAGAGGATACTGGGCTAGATGGACCATTGGTCTGACCCATTAAGACTATTCTAATGTTCTTATATAGCACCCAAATGTATCTGCATTCTGAGGTTACCCACTAGACCCCACTCCCCTTCCAGAGTGGAGATAGAGCCCAGGAATCCCGACAGTCTCTCTGCAGTTAGTAAGACAGACAGACCATATGTTAAAAGTTTAAGGCTAACCAGTGTCCCTTAAGTGACTTGCTACAAGATGTCAGAACATGTTAATATTAGAGGTGAGTGGATCTTATATGAATTTAAATTTTCTTTCTTTTATATAGGAATTTGATACAGAGCTCCTGTCAGCTAATTGCTAAGTAATCTGCCAAAAACAAACAAACAAACAAACAAAAAACCCCTAGAATTTTCCAGTGCATTCATATTACTAGAAAGAGGTGATATGTGTGTGAGGGGAGGGCAAATAGAATCAGTCCTCCCCCCCCCATTTGCTGCTTGGCTTGTACTGAGTATGCTCAGTAAAACTGTTGAAGCTGCTGTCCTCATCTGCCCCCTCCATGATCTCCTTTCCCCCCCCCCCAAAAAAAATCTGAAATGGCACCTCTGTGCGTGCGCAAAGCATCCAATCACTGTGCAGTGATGTTTTTTTTAAAGCCAATCAACAAGCACAATGACCCTGCCAACAAAGAAGCCTTTTAATAGCTACATCAATAACTTTTCATTCAAAAACAGTATCTATGCAGGGGTGGAGAG